GATAATTCCAAGCACATGCTATGTCCCAAGGTATAATAAAATGCTCAGCATGTTTTAATTAACTGTGCTTTGACTGCACACATGACAGTATAGGCTGCCAAGATGCAGAAATTCTTTGGAAATGAGAATGTGTAATCCAAATTGATGCCTAGTTTTGACTGATAGCTATTGTTACCTATTTTTCTTCCTCTGAGAGCATAATCCAGGGCATGAAAGATCTTTGTTGCTATCAATTGCATCCACGAAGACCTAAAATGAACATGTAATGGACTTAGTCTTAAAGAAGTTCCTGTACTGTGCAGACATTAGGAGCAACTAACTGAAAGTATAATAGCAACAAAAGCCCACCTTTTCTCAATTCTAAAATCCAAATGTTTTGAGAAGTAGAAGTATTTTTATAACTCATTTGCCAGCAAACTCTGGTCTGACCTAAACCTAAAAGTATTTTTATAATTCTTTTTGACTCATTAGTGGCAAAAACCTCATCTGAACAGATGTGAGAATATTTACAGTCTGTTTACTCCATTGAGTGTGACTGTTGTTTCATTGCAGAAATATTAGTATGTGCTTACAGAGTGATGTCTCAGACACTGGTGGCAGATACAATATACTATAAAATATACTTTACATGTATCTATCTCTATATGTATATATGAAGTGTATTACCATTCTAAAATCTGGAAAATTTTGTATTATAATACACATCTATTATCAAAGGTTTTGGATAAGGGATCAAAGACCTACCACTATTATTAATATTTATGGCTGATCATGTTGAAACATAAATCAGAACATGACACTCTTCTGCTAGATTCTCTCCAACGACTTCCTGTATAAAAGTCAAATTCTTTACAACTGCCTGGAAGATTGCTATTCAAAGAGGATGAGAATGTTCTCTGATATGGTTTCAATCTCAGTTGCATCTGACCTTTAGGAAACTGCCATTTCTCAAGTTTTAGTGTAGAAAATATCTCTTTTCCAACTACCTGTAAGATTGCTATCCAGAGAGGACCACAACAGTGACACTACTTATAATTTGTTAGAAATACAGAATTGCAGGCCCCATCTCCAACGATGAATTAGAATCTGCATTTTCACAAGATCTCCAGGTTATGTGCATGCACCTGATTTTCCAGAAGCACTGACTTACAAGACTCCAGATCATCTGACCCTCCTCCCTTGCTGAATTCATCTCCTACTTATCTCCCCCTCACCCACTTTTCTCTAGCCTCTTTGGTTTCCTTGCCACTTATCAAACATATGAGAAACACTTCCACCTAGCTGTCTCTCAGACTGGAATGTTCCTCCTGCAGGTATTTCCACCTGTGAGAGATATGATCTGTTCCCTCACTTGCTTCAGTTCTTTATTCTAAAGTCACCTTCTAAATGAGGCCTTCTCTATAACCATTATCTAAAATGTTCAAAACCCCCACAATGTATATTCTCCTCAGTTTTCACTAGCTGTCATTTTTTTCTCTTCTGTATTTATCACAATCCAAAATACTAACCTTTTACCAAATTATGTTTGAAAAAGACATATGCACCCCCATGTTTATCACAGCACTATTTACAATAGCCAAGAAATGGAAGCAACCTAAATGTCCATCAGTAGATAAATGGATAAAGAAGATGTGGTACATATACACAACGGAATGTTATTCAGCCATAAGAAGAAAACAAATCCTACCGTTTGTAACAACATGGATGGAGCTAGAGGGTATTATGCTCAGTGAAATAAGCCAGGCAGAGAAAGACAAGTACCAAATGATTTTACTTGTCTGTGGAGTATAAGAACAAAGAAAAAAACTGAAGGAACAACAGCAGCAGACTCACAGAACCCAAGAATGGACTAATAGTTACCAAAGGGAAAGGGACTGGGGAGGAGGGGTGGGAAGGGAGAGATAAGGGGAAAAAAAGGGGCATTACTACTAGGAGACATAATGTGGGGGTGGGGGGCACAGGGAGGGCTGTACAACACAGAGAAGACAGTAGTGATTCTGTAGCATCTTACTACACTGATGGACAGTGACTGTAATGGGGTATGTGGGGGGGACTTGATGGGAGGAGTCTAGTAAACAATGTTGCTCATGTAATTGTAGATTAATGATACCAAAAAAAAAAAAGAAGTTACATGCCTTTTTCACTGTATTGACATTTGTACTAGTAGTGCAAAAGCTCTAGTGGGCAAAACTGCTGGTGCTTCAGCACACAGAAAATGCAACGGCACCAAACTGTCAGTTGTCACTGAATTTTTGTCACCATACATTCATAGCTGTAAAAAAAATTTCAATTTCACCTAGGAATGTCCTTGATGAATTGAAGAAGTTTTAAAAATATTAATTTTATGAAATCTTGACCCATGTATGTGTCTATTTAATATTGTGTGGTTAAATAAGTTTGCATAAGACATATCTGTTGCATAGTACAGTATGTCCTGAGGACAAGCACATGTGAGATCATTTGCGTTGTGAGCTGAACTAGCTGCAGTTTTTGGAATGTCAACTTTGTGAACAATTTTATAAACATTTCACTGGAAAGAATGACTGGCAAGCAAACTATTCAGACTTGGGTATCTGGGTAGAGATTTTCTTGAAAATGAATGAAGTCACCTTGTTACTTCCAAGAAAACAACTGACAGTATTTATGGCCAGTCAAAAATAATCCAGGCTTTGAAGTGAAAATTAGAATTTGGGGAGACTTGTATTCACCAGTTTGTTAATATGTAAAGACTTTTCTGAGGAGATCAATAATTGGTAGTAAAGAATCCAATTTGTTAATATATTGTACAATGAAATGTGTTAACATCTGTGTGATGCAAAGATTTATAAGAAATATGTATTTAGTCATTCAGATGATCAAAATATATTTCTCAGATGTATTTAGTCTTAGTTCTGAAAAAAATGCTTTAAAGCCATAAAGGTGAAATGGGTGTCTTGTTATGTTAATAGAGAGACTTCTGGACTCCACACAGGTGCAGGGGCTGGATGCAAGAGGAACCAACCATGTGATTGGAAAGTAGGAACTTTTAGCCCCCAAGCTCCAACCTCCTGGGAGGGAAGAGGGGCTTGAGTCAGCCATGGCCAATGACTCAGTTACAATTGTGACTATGCAATAAAGCCTTCACAAACACCAATAGTAGAGCATTTGCTCCTTTTTGTGCATCCTGCTTCCTGTCCAGAGAGAGAGCTTCTATGCTTGGGGAACCAGAATGCTTCCTTATGCCACCTCAGTCCACAGGGATTAAAAGCTTCTTTATCTGAGACCTTGCCCTATGTATCTCTTCATCTGGCTATTAACTTGTATCCTTTACAGTATCCTTTATTAAACTGGTAAATATGTGTTTCCCTGAGTTCTGTGAGACAGTGTAGCAAATAAATGGAACCTAAGAGGGAGGTGGTTGGAACTTCTAATATGGAATTGGTGGGGGAGCAGTCTTATAGGATTGAGCCCTTAACTTGGGGAATCTGGTGCTGTCTTCAGCCAACTGAGTTGAATTCTGGGACACACTGCTGGTGCTTATGAATTGCTAGGTGTGGTGCATGGGAAAACCCCCTCCTCTCCATACACACATTGGAATTGGGTCTGGGAACCCAAACAGAATTTGAAAGATTTGCATAATTCAATGCAATTCAATATTTTTGAAATGACAAATACATGACAGAACAAAATCATGCATGGGTAAAAGATGCAGTCAAAGTACAAGACAGACAGACCAAAATGTAACAAAGTACAGAATGTTCTCTGATATGGTTTCAGTCTCAGTTGCCTCTGACCTTTAAGAAACTGCCATTTCTCAAGTTCTAGTGTAGAAAATATCTCTATTCCAACTACTTATCTGTATAAGGCCACATCTTCCTTCATATTCTCCAAACAACATATTACAACAGATTATTGCAAATGAACTTTCTTCTAAGCTAGATATTAAAGTTTCTAAAAACATAAAAGAATGCCACTCTTCTCACTACTTTAGAGTTATATTTCAAAAAAATGTTACTGATGCTAACATGGGTTTATTATTATTTTTAAATCAACTGATATTTTAAATTTTTCTCAATTTTATTTTCAAATACAGTAAATAATAATACATATAACCCACATAAATAAATGTTCCTTAGGTTCCTCAATAATGTTGAAGAAGGGTCCTGAGATTAAAACGTTTGAGAACCACTGTACTAAAATGTTAACTAGCAGGTAGTAATAAATTTTGTTGCACTGAATACTTACATTGTGCTAGGCTCTTGTTAAATGATTTTAACACATATTTATGCCTCTCAACAGCCTCATAAAGTAGGTATTATTACTAGCACCATTTTTACAGATAAGAACCAGTACTTAAGAGAGAGCAGTCATTTGTTTAAAGTCACTGGCAGCAGAGCCAGTACCAGAGCTGAGATCACGTGACTACAGGTTCCCCAGCCATCGCTGTGTTCCTAACCACTACTGATACTATAATAAAGCATACTAGGTTAGAAACTAGGCAAACAGTGCAAAGTCAGGTGACTACATTTAAAAATATAAAGGAAATAAAAAAGGGCCAAAATAAACAGGCACATGAAAAGATGCTCCACATCACTAAACATCAGGGAAATGCAAATTAAAACCACAATGAGATTATCACCTCACACCAGTTAGGATGGCCAACATTGAAAAGACTAGGAACAACAAATGCTGGAGAGGATACAGAGAAAGGGGAACCCTCCTACACTGCTGGTGGGAATGTGAACTAGTTCAACCATTTCGGAAAGCAATATGAAGCTTCCTCAAAAAACTAAGAACAGAAATACCATTTGACCCCAGAATTCCACTCCTAGGAATTTACCCAAAGAAAACAACTCAGATTCAAAAAGACATATACACCCCTATGTTTATCACAGCACTATTTACAATAGCCAAGATATGGAAGGAACCTAAGTGTCCATCAGTAGATGAATGAATAAAGAAGGTGTGGTACATATACACAATGGAATACTATTAAGCCATAAAAAAGAAACAAATCTTACCATTTATGGCAGCATGGATGGAGCTGGTGGGTGTTGTGCTCGGTGGGGTGGGTCGGGTAGAGAGTGACGGGTGCTGGGTGATTTCCCTCATTTGTGAGGTGTGGCAATGAAGCAAAACTGAAAGAACAAAATAGCAGCAGACTCACAGACTCCAAGGGACTAGTAGTTACCAAAGGGGAGGGGTGGGGGAGGGCGGGTGGGGAGGGAGGGAGAAGGGGATTGTGTGGTATCATGATTGGTACACACGGTGTGTGTGGAGTCACAGGGAAGACTGTGTAGCTCAGAGAAGACAAATAGGGACTCTGTGGCATCTTACCACACTGATGGACAGTGACTGCAGTGGGGTATGGGGGTGGGGTGTACTTGATAATAAGGGTGAATGTAATAACCACATTGCTTTTCTTATGAAACCTTCATAAGTATATATCAATGATACCTTAATTTAAAAAAAGGGTCAAAATACAATGTCAAATGGGTAGGGGATTGAAGGAGGTTCATGTGAGCACAAGAAAGGCAAAGGCAACTCAGAGGCAGAATGCAGGATGTCTGAGGAGGTATTTCAAGCATAGCCCATTGGGTACAACAACTATCAGCAGACTAAAGAATGAACAACCAAACCCCTGAGGTGTCTATTTAGCTTCAAGACCAGCTTCCAAGGACAGTACAGACAAGCTAGTGTCCTTTACAGTCAGCTTCACTCATGATGCTGTTAACATCTTCTTGCTGCTATTGGTCTCCCTGTAGCTCAAGTCTGAGTAATGCATTTAATGAAATGTTTAGGATAGTCTCTGGTTCCCATGCCCAAAGAGTTTCTACATATTAAATCTATCAACTCCAGTAAGTGCCTTCTCTCAGACCCACAGTAGGGTGATATCCTGAAGTTTCATCATCTTGACTGGGTTAGTACCAAAAAGAGTACTTAACTGTGTGCATTTTATGAAGGAGTCCCATAAGGTCTAGAACAGTAATTCATTCCCATCTTCAAATTTTCCTAAGGTAAAAATCCCACTAGAATATGCAGATATACTTTCTACAATCTTTAAATTTCTACTTCTTGTAATATTTAAACCATGAATCACTTTTGTTAAAGATGATTTAAAAATAAGTGATCTAGGATTGAGAAGGAAAACAAGATGTAGTGGATGGCAGAACAGCAGTCATTTTAGCAATGCAGCCTTCAGACAGCGGAAGTCAGGGCAAGGGAAGTGAAACCTGGGACCCATTCCCCTCACTCTACTGAGAAGGGGGCCATGAAGTCAGGTCAGACTGTTCACCTGTGTGCTCAGTGCTGAGACTGAGGAATTAAGTTACATAACCCTATCAGAAATAAGGTTTGAAAAATTCTTACTCAGCTCTGCATACAGAAGACTAGAAATAGAAAAATACATAGTATCTGCAGCAATGGGGAAAAAAAGTGAATTTATATGAATATTCTCAAAATTTTGGATGGAGATCCTGAAAAGTTCCTAGTATATACAAGGGATGATAAATGACAACTGATACTCGTTTACTCTAGTCTTCTATCTTCATTTTATATCAGTGAATATAAAAAGAAAATTATGAGGGCTTTCATAACTGCACTGGTGATCCAGAATCACCCTACCACTATTTCAGCCTTAAACCCTTTAGTTCCTCAACCACAAATTCTTCTACATGGGGCTTTTGAAGTAAAAATCTAAGATTAGAAAGAGAATATTGGGTTACACTGATCATGCTCCTGGTATTTTCCACAGCTGACTGGGCTGCTGTCCAATCATCGTATCTCCTTCCTACCACAGCCCAGGCTTCAACATATGGTATACAGAACTAGAGTGACTCAACATTGTGCTGGATCACAAAACAGGAAACATGCGTATGAAACACAGTTAAATGTCTTAGATTCCAGAGAGCACTGTGGTCTTCGTGAAAGACAGCAATGGACCAACTGAGGCTGCTCAAAGTCCAGTCACAAAATACAATCTTCTGAGGAAGGGCAGAAGCCCAGAGCAGAAGCTGACAATATATCTGTCAGGAAAATCATGGAAAAGTAAGTTCTGGGGTTCTTTTGCTATGAACATATCAAGCAAAAGAACAAGAATGCCTGAGCGCTGCACCCCCGGGGTACTGAGGAAGAAGAGGATTATGCACCATCCGCGCCAGGCTGGCGTGAGATTCAGGACTGACTGAGGACCTGTTTTACTTTGTGCTACTGGCTTTGGCAGTACAGGGTACTGGTTACAAGCGTGAACTCTGGGGGTGCTCTACTAGCACTCTAATTGAGACTGACCTTGTGGACAAGCCAACTGGACAAATGAGTATTAGCCAAAAAAAAATTTTTTTTCTAATTTGATTCCTGAGATACCTTACATTAAGGAAATTTCTAGGTGCCAGCAGTAAGATTTTCATGTTCTTCAGAACATCTAAGATGCCATACCCTAAGCCCTCACAGAATAACATTCTTGTCATTCTGCAATGAGCATTTCCTAAGCTATTGAGTTTTTTCTGTAGGATGAATGACAGTTTGACAAAAAAGTGACTATATGAGAAAGAATCAGAGTTGGCCAACTGGATTTCAGCCAACATTTACCTGATATGATTTCAGTCCCCATGCATATGAGAATTATATATATGACAATCATAAATATATCAATCTATGTATCTACATATGTATATAAATCAAGCAGAGGGAAAAACAGGTACTGGTTAAAACCATATAATGTTTGAGTTAAAGCAGTACAAAGGATCTCTTAAATGAATGTAGCTAGAACTCAAATACCCACCGTACTTTACATGTGTAATGTTACATTCCAACAGTTTTACCAGAAGGAAAAGATAATCAGTTCGTTTTCAATATCAAAAGTCTTCTCTTATTTAACTTGACTTGATGCAGCTTTCTAATATGCAGTATTATTTGTTATTCAAAAAACCAACTAAGTGATTTATGTCATGCAGCTGTGAACAAGTATTTTGTTTAAAATAGTATCTGCATGCTTCACTGCATTAACACTATTAGAATGCCCTCAAGGGCTGAATACTATGGATTGGAAAAGAAAACGTCACTGTCACTGGAAAATGAAAAAAGACTTCACTGATTCAAACCAACATCAAGCACAGAGAAATGATAGCAGTGGAAAAACATTTTCTTGTGTCTTTATCAGTCTGTAACAGAGAATTATTTTAACTCTCTAATAAGACTTAACAGTTCTTAAACAAAAATAAATAAATTTTAATAGTTCATAAGTTAGGTCATTCTGTTTTCTGTTTTCTCATAAATTTTTAAATATTTCGTATATTTGAAAGTCAATGTAAATATGCTAGAAGTATTTTCTCAACAACAATGAAATGCTCAAAAATAAAGGAGGAATATAATTTCATTCATATCATTAAGAAATATACACAATTGAGACTGAATTCTTTCATGCACATAATATATACATAAAATAAACAATTTCAGAAAACTTGAGTTCTCCATACAAAACATGTGCCTGTCATTTTAAAGAAAATTTTCTTGATTTTCTATGTAAAAAGCAAATGATGAAAGCCAAAAGCAATGATAAAAACATCATGGAACATACAGACACAAGCCGTACTGCCCACAGAGGTTAACTGTTCTAACAAACCTGCCTAATAGACAAGGAAAATAATTTCTGCATTTTACTGGTAAATATAGTATTTTCTGAAAGTACAAGAAATTTTAAGAAAACTCATGGTGGCAAACAAATGTGTATCAACTTTACCATCTTATACCTCTACTGCTCAGCAATAAAATGCTGCTGGAATCAGAAGCAAGCTAAACCAGTAATTTTTGAAATATCTATTTATAGTATAAATGCAAGTGTTTCCTCTAAAAAGAAAGCATACTGGAGGAAAAATCGTTTTTCTCAATCTGTTTGAGAACCAAATTTTCATTTCTGTGATTTCTTCTCTCAGTTCTTTATTTAAAAAATATCCAAACCTATGAAAATTTTTAAATAGTACAGGATCACCTTTCTTTCATCTAAATTCACTAACTGCATTCTTCCCCATTTGTTACCTCCTCTTCCCTCTTCTCTATCTATAGACACCCCCCAAACAACTTGGGAGTAAGTTCTGGCATCATAAAACTCCACTCATAAACAGTTCAGCATCTATCTCCTAAAAATAAAACATTGTCCTATACAACCAAGAAATTAACCCTCTCTGAGCCAGGAAAAACAGCCATCACCATTACTATCCAGGTCCATGACACTGATTTTTGCATATTTAAGTTATTTTATGAATAACTTATGCCCCCAGTGGACAGCACCATTCTTTGCAGCCAACTGCTAACCAACAGTCACACAAACACATTTTCTAAATACTGATTCCAGGATTCAAATACACCTCTAATAGATGTTAGCTTATCATTGCTCTGGTTCTTTTTGCACTTGCACTGTCAAAATGCAATGAATATTTCATATTTCAAAACCATCTTCTTTATGTTCTTACTGGTATTTCTGGTATTTCCTCTTGTACATGTATACATAACATTTGTGAAAACTCAACTTATAATTTTGTTGAAGAGAAGAAAATCATCTTTATTCCATAACTGAAAGGAAAGGAGCGACACATAGCAGCAATTCACCGGAGAGTTCCGCTTTATTAGGGAAAGGTGCTGGGTTATATAGGAGGGGGCATGAATTGATTGAGGTGTCACTTCTACGGGGCTGGTGGCTGTTGGCTAGATGCTGGGATTGGGAGGGGGGCGAGAGGTGATTGGGCTTCAGGTGGCGCCGGCGGGAACTGAGGACCCCGAAGAGAAGCCGGAAGTTTGCCATCTTACTGGTGGGGACCCTTCAATAACTGTAAAACATTTTCATTTTTAGATTTATAAAAACTAATTTAAATGACCAATCCAATAAATCTGTCATTTCTACATCATCTATTTCCTTCCTGTCAGTTTTGTACATACACACCTGTCTTAGGCATTAGTCCTCTCAAGAACTGTATCGGACACCTTTTGGTACACAAACACAAAAAATTAAAAGATAGTGTCAATTGTCCCACGAGCAAAACAAGACGGTCCAGATTCCTGCTGAAAAATAGGATGCAATGAAATTCTTCCTGTTGAATGACTAACTTGATTTGAATACCTTATTTCCTTTTTTCCTTAAACATAT